CGGCTCCACAACTATAATTATAACGTATATATCGATATAAAGGATATTGTCACATCTTATATCTCGTATAAAAATATATCGATATTTTTAAAAAACTCGATATATCGCCCAGCCCTAGGCAGTAGGTTAAAAAGATGGTAGCCCGGGTGGGTAAGGAGGGCAGGGTGTTTCTGGCCCTGCTGAGACAACGGGAGTTATAGACGGCAGACGAGGAGGGCTGGGGGCAGTCGATGATTCTTTGTGCTGTGTTCACCACCCTCTGCAGTCTCGTCCTGTCTGCCTCCGTGCAGCTGGCGTGCCGCACTGTCACTGCATAGGTCAGCAGGCCCTCGATGGTGGATCTGTAGAAGGTCACCAGCAGTGTTTAGTTGCTCCTTCCTGAGGAAGTGTAGCTGCTGCTGGGTCTTCTTGCCTCCACTTGCTCTCACATTCACCGTTTATGTGCAGGGCGGCACAGCCTGAAGTCCAGGATGAGTTCCTTGGTCTTGGTGATGTTAAGTGCCAGGGGTCTGTAGGTAGTCTGTGATGTGCTGAGACACTGAAGTAAAGATGCCACTGAAGGCTGTGAGGTGGGAGTTGGTATATTCTCATTAACTATAGCTGCCTTTCCCAGCAGCAGGTTGGTTTTTCTAGTCCATGCTAGTTCCACTTCTTTGCCACTGATGTGCACTGGTGTGTACATCCTCCTTTCTCCTGAAGCAGATGATCACTTCCTTTGTTGTCTTCATATTGAGTGGAAGGTTATTGTCTTTAAATCACACTGCAGCTGTGTTGCACTTCCTCCCTGTAGGCAGATCAGCCTCACCACCGATGTGTCATCAGCAAATCTGACCGTGACACTGGTGTTATGTGATGGGGTGCATCATGTGTGTACAGGAAAGGGCTTAACAACAACCTTGTGGGGCTCCAGTGTTAGAGTGGGGGCGTGATTGGTGCTCATCCAGACTGTTAGTCAGGAAGTGCTTCATCCAGAGGCAGATGTTGGTCTGTTTGCCCAAGTTGGACATTTTGAAGAAGCCTGCTGTACAGGGTGGTGTTAGCAGCACACGCAGCAGCCATGCACATGTCCCTGGCTGTTCGATTGCACTGCAGTTTCCATTTTAAGCTATAAATGCTGACAGATTTTGCCTCAAAGTTATTGCGGTGCTGCAGTCACAGGGTGATCTACCAACAATAATAATAATTTACTGACAAAGATGCAGCAGGTTCACTTCAGTGATAACCAGCTTTCTGCCAAGAGGAAGAATGATCAGCTCGAAAATCAGCAGACCTGAGGAGGGAGTGATGTCAGCCTTTCCAGAATAATCCGGTGTAAGATCAGGTTCCTGCTTCCCTGTGAAACAGCAGGGCAGTGTGTACAGATGAGAGGACGGTGAAGGAAGATGTTTCTTATAGATACAGATACAAATCTGTGTGCACTGTGCAAAGGGCTCCGAGGATTAAGACACAGATGCCGTATTTATCCAGAGAGAGCAGCTCAGATCTCCTTTTAAAAGTCATTCCTGATAAATCCTAACACTGTTGTTTTCTGTATGTATCATGTTGCTTTCTTCATCCACCCTGACACTGCAGTGTCACGTTTGTCTGCATGTGTTTGATGTTCACATTCAGTGTAGGTGGCAGCATTTGTGTCTGTGCTGTATGTGGAATGGAGACTTTGAAAAAGCACTTCATCATAGGCACAACTATAACCATCTACTATAGGGCTGTTCGATATAACGATATATATCGGATGGCGATATAAAAACATCTGTCGTTTCATTTTACGCTATCGTTTGTTTCGTGGTGTCGCAAAATAAACTGTTTACAGCAATATTTGTTCATGTTCTGATGTCACTGTAGTGGCTGTATTCATTTATTAAAGTTCTCTCTTTCTCTTATATTTAATATAACCACACTACGGACGGACAAGCGCCTGTTTTTATGCGTTGTCGTTAGCAACAACGACGGTAACACCATGGCGTGTCTGCTTGTTTATGTTCCACATAAACCTTTCACAATAAAGCTCAAGATCCTGCTGAGACTTTTCAAAATAAACTGAATCACGTGAAAGATGCAGATTATTTACGGAGAGAAGTAAAAAAGAGCCGCCAGGTGCTAAAAAATAAACCTTAGACTCAAACGTTAGAACAGGCTTTTCCCCGCAGCACGCCGTGTGATAAATACTCACAAAGAAAACGGCGCCGTTACAACTTATGTCTAAAAATGTGTCGTTTCATGCATCGTTAAAACACTCGACTCCAGCTACATGACGCCCAGCTGGAAACACTTCACGCAAGTCGAGATTCACAGAGTTTACAGAAAATGTTACATTTTTGTGATTTATATCGTTATCGGACGATAGATGTCTGATATCGGGATATGAGATTTTGGTCATATTGCACAGTCCTAATCTACTACACACTTAAAAAAATAAAGCAACATGTTGAAACACATCAGATCTCGATGGGTCTTGATGTCACTCATGTGCTTGTATGTATGGCTGATACGGTCCAGGCGTGCTCTTAATGAGATGATGGATGGTGTCCTGGGGCTCTGCTCCCAGAGCTGGACCAAGGCATCACCCAGCTCCTGAACAGTCTGAGGTGCAACCTGGTGGATAAACTGAAACATAAAGTTCCCGAGGTGTTCTGTTGGATTTAGGTCTGGCAGCCACAGAGGCCAGTCAATGGGTTCAATTCCTTGATCCTCTAGGACATTGGTGTCCAACTCCAGGCCTGGAGGGCCGGTGTCCTGCAGGTTTTAGATGCGTCCTTGATCCAACACAGCTGATTTAAATGGCTAAATTACCTCCTCAACATGTCCTGAAGTTCTCCAGAGGCCTGGTAACGAACTAATCATGTGATTCAGGTGCGTTGACCCAGAGTGAGATCAGGACACCGGCCCTCCAGGCCTGGAGTTGGACACCCCTGCTCTAGGAACTGCCTGGATACTTGAGGTTGACCATCGTCGTGCACCAAGAGGAACCCTCGACCCACTTCATCAGTGCACCTTGGACAGCAGGTCCAAGGAGTTCATCCCGATACCTAATGACAGTCAGGGTGCTAGTGGCTAGCCTGTAGAGGTCTGTGTCCCTCCGTGGACATATCCCCAGGCCATCACTGACCCACTGCCATAGTCATAGTGAACGATGTTACAGGCAGCATAAAGTGGCTCCTCCTTCCACGTCTGTCTCTTACTTTCAGCTGTAGTTACACCCATTACTGTAACAAGTGCAGTGTGTTACTTTGTAACTATCCTCATCCACGTTATTGAACAGAAAACGAGGCTGCATTTCATGTTCCTGGAGCTTCTTATCAACAGTGTCATGCATTTTAATGTTATATTATAATGATTACATGCACCTCATTTACAATGAAACAAGGAAAAATGCAAATAAAAAATTTCTACACATTCAGGCAAAAATCATAAAAATCCCATCCAGACTTCTGTACTTGGTGTACGTAGGAACATTTAAGGACTGGCTACTTGTCTGTACGCAGTATTTAAATACTTGTGTTGACCACCTGTGATGAAACCAGTATGTGGCCTGTGTCCAGTTTAGCTGGGACCTTTTTCAGATGGAGGAGCCCAGTGAGGACTGCAGCCTGAAGGATGACATGGTGGATGGGGACCTGGGTGATGGGATAGGAGTCACAACAGCACTCAGCTCCACTAGGATGAAGAGTGACAGAGTGAGCGGTCGCTCAGAGAGTCGGCTGCTCAGAACAGACCCGCTGCAGTGCAGCAGTCGAGCAGGAGAGGCCGTCTGGACTCCTACAATAAAAACTGCAGAGACACAGCAGAGAGCCCAGCGGGAGCTGTCATACTTTGGTAACACTTTCTAACGTGTGTTTCTTACTGTTGTACACACCAAAGAATATACACCATATCAGCACATTTCACCATTTTTAATTATAACTGGATTTCTTCAGTTGGACGTGAAGAAGCTTTTTGGATCAGCAATGAAATGTCTTCAAAGAACATCTGAAATCTACTCATTCAGTCAACTTAGCAGTTAAACATCCTGTCCCTATGACTCACATCTCTGGCTTTTTAGAAATATTTTACATAGTGTTTCAAATGTTATCATACGATACTAGTTACACAGCTACGCTAGCTAGTTTGGGTTCTGCAGCCTCTGCTCAGTTTGAACGTCTTTGACTACACTGACAATGTTGTCTTGATAAAAGAGCGTCTTCTGTGACTGTATAGGCTCACTCGTGGACCTGTCTAAAGACGAACTCAAGGAAAGACTACAGGAAGCAACTAAGGTAGGACAAAAGTAGAGCTAATGTAACTAATGCTGTCAACTTGATTGTAGCCTGGAAACTAACAAGTGCTGCTTCTTTGTTGGCAGATGATAGATGGACTATGCTGTGAGCTTGATGTAGCACACCGTTACTTTGAAGGAAAATATGAAGCTCTGAAGATTCTGCAAGGCAAGGTAGAGCAGCACATTACAGCTTATAGTAGCTAGCTTAACTTCTTTGGACTCTATTAACAATACTTTTAGGACTTTTGGCAAGACATTACGCCAGATTGAACCAAGTTTTAATATAAATTATAAAAAGAAAATGGAGTGAAATAAAAGTTTGATTCTGAAGGAGAACATGACTTAGTGTTTGGGGAGAAAGCCTGTTGTCAAGAACAGCATTAAGACATTTCTTGTTGTTGGTCTCCAGGTTTGCACATATGTTAGAAGGATTCTGGGCCGCTTTACAGAAACTCTGAATCCTTTAGGTTTCTTGGCTACTGGGTGGCAACTTGAAGCTTCAGCTTCCTTCATAGGTTGTTCTGTAGCATTGAGGTCTGTAGATCACTCCATCACCTTAATATGCTTCTGCAGCCATTCTATTGTTGCCATGGCAATATGTTTTAGGTCATTATCATGCTAGATGATCCATCCTTGACTGATCTATAGTGTTCAGGCTTGGGAAGGAGGTTCTCGTCCAAAGTTTTACAGTACGCTCCCCCATCCATTGGCCCGTCGATGCTGTGAAGTGTCTTCTTGAGCAGAGGAATTGCAAGATATCAAATATCACAACCCCCTTGGTTCTGACTACTTTCCCTCTCGTTACAATCCGACTACACTTCTCCAGTCTGAGTGACATTCGATATCACTGCTTTAGATCGTACTGGTATGGATCAGTGGATCCACGTCTCGTCCACTTCTGGAACACTGCTTGATCCATGTAGAGGAGTCCTGTTGGTGATCTTAGTGAGGGGTTCAGGCTATGCAGAGCAGCAGTGGGGACACAGCATCTCCTTGCTAAACCCTGAACTTCATGGCTACTTGAAGTGTTGTTCGTCACATTCCTATTGAGTTCTTGATGAAGGCTCTTGGAGTGCTGTTGATCTTATACAGTTCTATGAATCATGACATTATTATGTGTGAGGCGCTGAGTGATAGGCTTACTTTAATCAGTCCAGGCTCTGCACAGTTTGGTTTGTCTGATCTGCCAGTTTGTCTGAATTTAGAAGGAAATCTTGGGACATCCGTGCCTTTATGTCTTTAAGACATGTTGGTAGTTTAACTCATTTGGGTCATCTGTTTGCATAGATGATTACCATTCCTGTGTGAAGACTCACGATTAATATACAAAAACTATCAGACAGAATTCAAACCAGTGCATCACAGTTCCTTTAATACACACATTGATGGTTTGGAGGAAGTAATTACTGAAGTTAGTACCGTCATTGGAAAAGAGAGAGTCTAAACAAATATAAACACTTATTTAAGCCCACTGATTTATCCAGAATAACCAAACGCAATTAGAGAAACTTTATGGCTCGTGTGTTTGAAATTAAAAGATTGACTTTACTTTGAATTAAATTATTTAAAATGTCATTGCACAAGCAGTGCCTGCCTTGTGTGCCCTCATAGAACACCACTGATTAAAAAGTATGTGCACGTCATGCATTTAATGTAAGACTGAGCCGTATGTTTCACGTGTAAAAACATTTTCCTTTAGTCAAACTGAAACTAGTTTCTGTAGTTATAAACTGCATAAAAGTCCCACAGAAATCTGTTGATGACTGAAAACTATTGTGTGTGTTGTTCACAGGCCATTCTTGACAAAGCTACAAGTCACACTAAAAGTGTGCTGCAGAAAACTGAGGAGAAAGCCAAAGCACTCGAGAAGGTAACGTCATTTCTGGTTTATATAAGAGCAACTCAATTAAAAGTACATAAATTAAAAAAATATATAAAAGAAACTCAGATAAGGTTGTAAGGAATCGATCTTTTAGTGCTAAAATTCTTCTTTCCTGCTCAACATTCATGAACTAAGCTATTCCTGTTTAACACAACTCTTGTAAAAAGGTTTTTCCATTTGCAGTTACATGCTGACCAGAGGTTATGTTATCAAGGGGGGCTTTTGCCCCCTGTAGAGTCTCCCACGGCAAATTGGTCCTGGGTGAGGAAACGGTCATAGAGCGATTCAGAAGACCCCTATGAGATCAAAGGAACAGTTCACCCTGCCTAGTATACCATTACCGGGACCCTAAACCTAACCCCGGGAGGTTGCTCACGGGCGAACATCTGGTGGTCGGGCCTTAGCTTATGGGGCCCGGACTGGGCACAGCTCAAGAAAGGGGCATGAGCTAGGGCTGCTCGATTATGGCAAAAATGATAATCACGATTATTTTCACTGAATCTCGATTATTTGACGATATTTATTTAACAATAACAATGTGTTGAATAATGACTTTAAAGATTGTCAAAAAATAATATAAAATAGTGCAAATACTGATAACAGTGCAAATGTTTGCAATATAAGAAATAAATGAAAAATGTAAACATCTGTGTTTAGTGAGCTTTGCAGTGTTGCTCTGTGGTGCAGCTACACTGTAGCAAAGTTTACACACTGTGTCTACTTGATCCACGTCTGACTGAACCCATAATGTTTCCACACCACTGAAGTTTTTTTACCTCTTTTCAACCAACAGCAGTCACTCTCCTCTCCAAATAACTTCTGCTCAGCTTTCCGAGCTTCCCTCGGGTCCTCTTAATCAGCGGTCCCCAACCCCCGGGCCTCGGACCGGTACCGGTCCGTGAGTCGTTTGGTACCGGGCCGCGAGAGTTGAGGCTCAGGTGTGAAATGTCTGGTTTTCAGGGTTTTTATCGGTTTTCAGCGTTATTTTGTTATCGTTTTTATCGTTTACTCGGTTTTCCTGGGTCTTTTCACGTGTGTTATGAATAAATCTTCTTTTTTTCGGTACCGGTACTAGTTTTATTTTGTTGTATTTATCCGCGACACCTTAAAGGCCGGTCCGTGAAAATATTGTCGGGCATAAACCGGTCCGTGGCGCAGAAAAGGTTGGAGACCGCTGCTCTTAATCGTTGTGACGCGTGTTTGAAACGCAGAGAGGTGCGCTCGATTTGCCACACGGAGCAGCGCGAGAGTAAAGCACGAGGGAGGGGCTAATAATCGGCTCAGTCATTTTTAATGTTCGATTAATTGAGCAGCCCTAGCATGAGCCTATCCTCCTGAAGCCCCACCACCCGCAGGAGGTGCCGTAGGGGTCGGGTGCAATGTGTGTTGGGCGGTGGCAGGAGCGGAGGCCCTGGCAGACTGATCCCTGGGTACAGACATGGACTGTCACCTTTCTGGTGAGAAAGTTGTCTGAGTTAGTGCGTGAAGTTGAGGTACTGGATAGATATAGTTGGGCTCATTCTCCAGTCTCCTGGAGAGGGGCTGGACTCACTGCACTGGGTGAGAGGCGGCGGGCTGGCGTGGGTACCCTAGTATTCCCTCGGCTTGCTACCTGTATGTTGTGGATTCTCCCGGTGGATGAGAGGGTAAGCGCCGAATGACTGCTCAGAGTACCCGGCCTTCTTGGGCGGGGTCCTTGAAGGTGCCCCAACTGGGGACTCTGTTGTCCTACTGGGAAACATCAACGCTCATGCAGGCAATGACAGTGAGACCTGGAGGGATGTGACTGGGAGGAACGGGAGCAGCATTTTGTTACAGGACTTATGTGCAAACCAAAGTTTGTCCTTAACATGTTCAAACATAAGGGTGTCCATAAGTGCACGTGGCAGCAGGACATCCTAGGCTGCAGGTTGATGATCGATTCTGTAATTGCATCATCAGATCTGCGGCCATATGTTCTGGACACTCGGGTAAAGAGAGGGGCTGAGCTGTCAGCTGATCACATCCTGGTGGGGAGTTAGATCAGGGGGTGGGGAGGATGCTGGACAGACCTGGCACACATAAACGTAAAGTGAGGGTGCGCTGGGAAGGTTGGCAGAGGCTCCAGTCTGCATGCCAAATATTCTTGGGAAAGGTACTAACTCCCATGTTGCTCTCCAGTGCATCCATCAGAATATGAATGGGTATGAAAGTTAGACAGAAAGCACGTAGAAACAGCATAGAGGTGTAAATGGGTGTGAATGGGTAAATGAGGCAAGTTGTGCTTTGAAAGGAACCTTTTTTAGTGTAGCATCAAGTCAGTAATGGGATGGTGATCTGGTCAGCTATGTAGCAGAGGGGGTTGTTAACCAGTTAATAGCACCAGAGGGACAACAATGAGAAAACCCCCAAAACAGGAAGAGTCTACTGGTGGAGACCACTGACTTTTTTTTCCTCCTGATTTTTCAGATTTTTTTAGTTTTGCATTTTGCAGCGATCACTGTCTCTACTAGTAGCATGAAGCAATACGTGGACCCTACAAAGGTTGCACACGTAGCCCCACTCCTCCAGGATGGCATATGTATACGTGCAATGCCAGAAGCTTTGCTCTGTCTCCCATCGAGAGTATGGAGGAGATTCAAGGAGACAGGATGCAACTCTAGAAGAGCTGGACAGGGCCATAGAAGGTCCTTAGCCCATTAGCAGGATCAGTATGTGCTTCTTTCTGCCAGGAGAAACAGGAAGAGCACTGAGCTACAAAATGACCGAAATGAACAGCCGGTGACCGACCAATCAGGACCAAACTTCATGGCGTCCTCTAGTGCAGCGGTCCCCAACCCCCGGGCCACGGACCAGTACCTGTCTGTGAGTCGTTTGGTACCAGGAAAGAGGCTCGGGTGTGAAATGTATGGTTTTTATCATCAACTGGGTCTTTTCCAGTTATGAATGAATCTTCTTTTTTTGGTACTGGTTTTATTTTGTTGTATTTATCCGCGACACCTGAAAGGCCGGTCTGTGAGAGTATTTTACAGATGAGAGGAGGTTCACCCTGAGCACATGTGACTGAAGCAATGGAGAAAGACATGTTTATGTAACATCGTTCAGCGTGACTGGTTTGGTGGCATATCCATGGAGTACACAGACCTCTACAGGCCATTAGGTACTGGGATCAAATCCTTGGATCCACAGACATTGTCATATGCTGGTGCAATGATTCCTGTGTTCCTCCTGGTGCATGACGACGCCCGGCCTCATGTGCTGAGAGTGTGCAGGCAGTACCTGGAGGATGAAGGGATTGACACCATTGACTGGCACCCACGCTTGCTTGGCCTAAATTTAGTAGAACAGCTCGGGGACATTGTTTCAGTTCATCCAGCAGGTATCATCTCAGACGACTCGGTTTAGTGAGGCCCTGGTCTGGAGGAGATGCTGCAGGACACCATCCATCATCTCATTAGGAGCATGCCTGGATGTCATTGGGCATGCACAGAGCACCTGAGAGCCAAACAAACTACTGAGCACTGTTTTGAGTTGCTCAATGAAATTTCAGACTGCTGCATAATTCTTTGATTTTCGAGGTGTCCTTGAAATCTGCCCTCTACAGGTTGAATTTCATTTTCATGATGTGGCATCCTTTCATTCTTAACACATTATTCATGTCAGCATAGATATCAGCATGATGTTTTTCCCCTACTGACATCTGAAGTGGTCCTTTTTTCAGCAGTGTACTAGCAATCCAGCGTTAAATGGGAATTGCTCTCTGAGAGCATTTTTAGGCTGTCAAAACAAGCATGAAAACTGTTAAAGTTTAACCAAGTCAAGGCGACGACAGAGTTGATGTGTTTATTGTAACAGACACCGACGTCATCCTAGTATCAGAAAGAGTATGTAATGTGGGCGATTAGACTGTACATTTGAAAACTGATCAGAAACTGCAGATAAATCCTTCATCGCTTGCAGGAGGTGAACAGTTTGCAGTGGGAGCTCAGCTTCTCTCAGGCTCAGATGAAGAAATCTGAGCAGTCCTGGGAGCACAAGCACAACAGGTCAGATTAACTCTGCATACACTTCTGTCTCTGGTCTCTTACCTGCATCATAACGCTGCTGCTTTATGATCAGAATGTCAGGTGAGAACAAGCTTCTGACTGACAAGTTGCAGGAGATGGAGAGTGAGAGCCAGCAGCTCCGAGCAGAAAACTCTGGTAAATGAGTCCAACACATGTAGATGCTTGTATAAGTTATATGTGATGCAGAGGGTTAACGTGTGTCTGTCTGCAGCCTTGAAGCGACAGTACGTGGAACTTCTCTCCATGCTGAACGTGAAGGAGCAGAGAATTTACCAAGCCACCAAACCTCAGTACAGCCTGGACACCGAGTCAGGTGTTCTGGAGGTGAGAGACGATGGGGGAGGTCGCTGGGTGGGATGGCACGCTGTGATTCTCAGCAACACAAAAGCTGCTTAAAGCATTTGTGCTGATTTGAATGTTGTTATGGCTCATCTGCTTTCTAGCATTGACTCTTTGATGCAGGAAGTCACAAACCGATCAACATCAGCACAGCTTGACTCTCTTCCATGTACACTTCTGAAGCTCATGTAAAAACGTGTAAGAACAGCTTAATTTTGATCGTGTAGTCGTTCATTTAGGAACGGAACAAGAATTTACCCTACCAAAGAGCACAGCAGGGCCAGTAATAGGTAAGGGTTTGTACGCCTCAGCATCTACACCCAAATCTGTGAATGCAATGAGAACGAGGCGACGTAGGGTCGATGTCATAGATGTGTCTGCTAAGAATCTCGGAGCAGTTTGACTCTCGGTGACCTCGACCTCAAGGTCAAGTTACCTGAAAGGTTTGTGGATACAAAGACTCGAGAACGAGGTGATTTGAAATGATACCATAGGTGTGTCTACGAGGAGGGCGAGGGCCCACACCAAACGCCATATCAGAAACAATAAGACCTTCACACTGTTTACCTGAAGCGTGTTTACTGATTGCATGTGTTGTTACACTGAAAGGTGAATGTGTTGTCATTTGTGTTGAACAGCGATGATGAAATAAAGTTTGTAGCCCCTCACTTAATGCTTTAAAGCAATAAATAAGATCAAATATAACAAGTAAGTCGTTATGCAGTGAATAATGATCAAATAACAAACAGTTTTGCAGTTATAAGTGTAACTGTAGCAGGAGACCACGCTACCACATACAACAGGTAACCAGGCTGCAGCTTCCAGGTGTTTCACTAAATAAGAGGAATATGTTATTAGATGCACAGCTGGTGTGTGATCACTCCCTGAACCACTCTGCCACAGCTGGGCAACACAGTTAATTATCATTAACTTGCACTTGTACTCAGTCGTATCCTTTCTAATCTCTGTTTTCCAGTTGACTGTACTGGGAGCCTGCCAGTGTGCGTTTGATACTGAACCGTGTCCATGTAGTCGGACTGCTGCTGCCAGCAGGAAGCAGTTGGTCCAGTTACAACAGGAGGTAAACGTCGTGTAACTCTGTCACTGCACCAAGTTCCAACTTTTGTTCTACTCGGGTCAGTTATTATCATCTATGCATCGTTCAGTTTGATTCATGGATTTAAAAAAATGTTGAATAATCAAAATATTGGTTTTGGAACTGGTTAAAAATATAACAACAGCTTGTGTCAGAACAAACGACCAGACATCCTCCAGCTTCTGTCTCCTGAGGGGCTCCAGGCAGGGATGCCCACTCTCCCCTTCACTGTTTGCAGTTTTTATCCAACCACTAGCAGCAGCAGTTAGACAGGCTGCAGTAATGAAGGGCATCAGATGCAAGAATGTAGGACATAAAGTCAGTCTCTGTGCAGATAATGTGTTGCTTTCACAAACCAATCTCTCTGAGGTAATCACGCTAATAAACTCTTTTTCAAGAGTTTCAGATCATTCAATAAACTGGTTAAAATCTGCAGTTCTTCCGTTGAATTGCTCCTTCCATAATCCTTCTTCTGCCCCACTGCAATCTGGAAATATTAAATACTTAGCTATTAATGTTTCTACTAAGCTTGCAGATTTAACTAAATTAAACCACATCCCAGTTCTAAAGAAAGTAGGAGATGATCTGGCTAGATGGAAATCTCTACCCATATCACTCATGGGAAGGGTCGCTGCAATAAAAATGATTATCTTGCCAAAAATAAATAAATTATTCTCACTGATCCTGAGTGAACCATCACCAGACTGGTTCTATTTCTAAATTCCTTTGGAAAGATAAACCCGTGTATCAGATTAAAAACACTACAAAGGACCAAGGACAAAGGACTAGATCTGCCTAACTTTCAACAACACTTCTTAGCCCACAGGTTTCATCTCAGGATGGTTTAAACACACCCTCTTAGATGAGCCCTGGGTAGATGTAAAACTTTGCACTAATCCAGAGATTTCAGACCATTTATCAGCTCAAACATCAAACGACATGATGCTTTAAAAGCATCAACATCAGCTCTTCTCTGACAGCATGGTGGGAGTTTGTAACAATAACAGAGTCTTCATGCAAACGCCTATCTGGAACAACCCTGACATACTACAGAACAATGATATGATAAACTCCCAGATTGGAGTTGTAAACCCCACCCCAACCAATCACAGCAGATGGCCCCGCCCCTCCCTGAGCCTGGTTCTGCTGGAGGTTTCTTCCTGTTAAAAGGGAGTTTTTCTTTCCCACTGTCACCAAAGTGCTGCTCATAGGGGGTCATATGATTGTTGGGTTTTTCTCTGTGTTGTTGTAGGGTCTGCCAATATAAAGCACCTTGAGGTGACTGTTGTTGTGATTTGGCGCTGTGTAAATAAAACTGAATTGAAAATAAAGGAATTAAATACTTGAAACATATATTCAAAGGAACAGATATTATTCCGTTTGACCGTAGTTATACAAAATGTGTTTAACAAGAAAAGACTTTAGAATATCAACTAATTAAATCTATAGTAAAAAAAGAAATTTAAGCCTGGTCAAGTCAAATTACAACTACCACCAAGTGCGGTATAATTCCTTAATTTCAAACCCCCTAAATTACTGTCTAACATATATAGGACACTCTATAAAATCAATGAATCAATATGCCCTCCTGCTGCAAATGGGAGGCGGATCTATCAGTCAGCTTAGACCAAAACTTCTGGTCTCAACATGTTTAAAACCTTTCAAGTGATTAGAAATCTACAATTACAATACGCAATACTACACCGAGTGCACCACACAGGTCAGCAGATGTTCAGCAGGGGTTTTACAACAACTGCTTACACTGTCAAAACAATATACATGACAATTGCATCCACGCTCTAGGTTCAGAGGTTTTGGTGAAGGATATGTGAAGACTTATCAGAGTGTCTGAAATGCAGCATTCCAGCCTCCCTTTTAGTTTGCTTATTGGGCAACTTATTATGTCCCTGTGGAGATGAATACAGTCCACATGGCTCTCACGGTCCTCGTGACGGTCCTCATGAACTGGTGCACCAGGCCTCCCCCGGCACCTGATCCAACTCACCATCAGATAGTGATCAGTCGACAGCTCAACCCCTCTCTTCACCAGAGTGTCCTGCACACATGGTCGCAGCTCTGATGAAACAATTACAAAGTCATTCAATCATGATGTTCATTATGGACAAACTGTAACAAAACGGCGCTCGGGTTCAGATCCAGGAGGCTGTCCAGGTCTCACTATCATCGCCCAGCGTTGAAGTCTCTCAGTATGACAGAGTCCCCAGGTGGAGCACCCTCAAGGACCCTCTCAAGGACCCTGCCCAGGGACTCCAAGAAGGCTGTGTACTCTGAACTGTCGTTTGGCGCATAAGCACAGACGACAGTCAGGACTCGTTCCCTGACCCAAAGGCGAGAGAACAAACCCTCTCATCCACTGGGAGAAACCCCAACAAGCCGAGGGGATACTAGGATACCCACCCCACCGCCTCTCAAAAAGGGCAACTCCTGACGGAGACAGAGTCCAGCTCCCCTCCAGCAGACTGGTTCCAGAGCCCGAGGTGTGCTTGAGGTGAACCTGACGCTTTCTAGCTGGTACCTCTCAACCTCACACACTAACTCCTTCCCCATCAGAGAGGTGCCACTCCATGTCCCAGTCGCTAGTTTTGGTAGTCGGGGATCAGCACCCCAGGGCCTCCACTCCTGGCTGATAAGGTAGCGATTCACGCTACCTTATCAGCCAGACCAGGGACCACGAGCTTCCCCAGTCCCCCAAACCCCTGACAGGCCATCACCCTCCTCCCCCTCCCTTTCTCCCTCCTCCCCACACCTGAAATTCACTGAGGAGATGATGGAGCGGGTCAATGCTGGGCTCAGATCTACCCCCCGGCCCAATCCCTTTTTGTCCCCCATAAACCCCCCACCAGAGCGGCCAAAGGTTCGCCATCGAGCCCCACCCTCAACAGAGCAATCGAAGTCACATTGCCCAGCCTCGCCCCCCTTAGTTCCTCCTTACCACCTTCATGCTCCTGTCTCCGCAGTCTGATGTGTGATGTGTGGAGGGTCCGGGCTGTGAGGATTATGGCAGTGGTGACTTTTCCCAGGAGAAGCTGGGACCCTGTTTACTAGAAGGTTTTAAAATTTCTGTACTTTTAGGTGACAGGAGACATGTGGCCTGGTCAAAACACAGAGAGCTGCACTCTAAAAGATCTTTAAACATAGTAAACATACCTTGTGTGCCACAGACTGCTCCCAAACACGAGGGGACAAGTAATACCTCTAAAACACTTAAGTTGGCTTTATTAAACGTTAGATCTCTAGCTGGGAAAACATTTTTAATTAATGATTTAATCACTGAGCACAGCCTTGATTTTATGTTTTTAACTGAAACTTGGTTGGACCAAAGTAACAGTGGAGCTGTTCTCATCGAGACGACCCCTCCTAACTACAGTTTTATCAGTGAGGCCAGGGTGAGCAGGAGAGGAGGAGGGGTTGCTGTCTTATTTAAGTCAGGAGGCAGGGATAGCTCAGTAGGTAGAGTGGTGGCCCCATGATCGGAAGGTCGGGGTTCGATTCCCCTGAACAGCTACCCTGAGGTACCCCTGAGCAAGGTACCGTCCCTACACACTGCTCCCCGGGCGCCCAATGGCTGCCCACTGCTTCACTGAGTGAATGGGTTAAATGCAGAGAGCGATTTTCCCCACGGGGACCAATAAAGTACACTTTCTTCTAATGAATCATTTCAATGTAAGCAGCTATCTCCTGGAAGTTTTCAGTCTTTTGAATATGTGGCTTTACAGCTGAAGGCCCCATCCAAAGTTGTGTTTCTTAATGTTTACAGGCCTCCCAAATACTGCACAGACTTTTTTAATGACCTCAGTGAACTGCTGTCTGTGATCTGTGTTGATTTTGACTGTGTAATTATTGTTGGGGATTTTAACATCCATGGCTATGATGCCTCTCAGTGACAAAGGGTTTTAGACAGAACCACAGCACTGAAACCGCTCTGACCAAAGTGTTTAATGACATATGTCTGAATACAGACAGTGGAAAAATGTCAGTCTTAGTTTTACTGGATCTCAGTGCAGCATTTGATACAGTTGACCACAACATATTACTCAAACGACTGGAGAACTGGGCAGGTCTTTCAGGAACTGTACTAAACTGGTTCAAAACATACTTAGAAAACAGGAAATACTTTGTATCAATAGGTAACTTCACATCTGAGCAGACAAGTATCACATGTGGAGTTCCCCAAGGTTCCATCTTGGGACCCCTTCTGTTTAACATTACATGCTCCCACTGGCACAGATTATAAAGCAACAACAAAATAAACTACCACAGCTATGCAGATGACACACAAATATATATCACAATGTCACCAGGAGACCGAGGCCCTGTACAGGCTCTTGGTAAATGCATTGAGGAAATTAATGACTGGTTGTGCCACAATTTTCTCCAGCTAAACAAAAACAAAACTGAGGTAATAGTCTTTGGCGCCAAAGAAAAACGATTACAGGTCACCAGAGAACTTCAATCTATACATCTAAAAACCACAAACCAGGCGAGAAATTTGGGTGTAGTGATGGATGCAGACCTAAACTTAGAAAAACACATTAAGACAATAACAAAGTCAGCTTACTATCACCTCAAGAATATATCAAGGATAAAAGATCTGATGTCTCAACAGGACCTGGAAAAACTAGTCCATGCATTCATCTTTAGTAGGCTTGATTACTGTAACAGCATCTTTACAGGTCTACCTAAAAAATCAGTCAGACAACTACAGCTCATTCAGAACTCTGCTGCTCGAGTCCTCACTAAGACCAAAAAAGTGGACCACATCAGTCCAGCTCTGAGGTCTTTACACTGGCTGCCTGTCCGTCAGAGGATAGACTTTAAAGTTCTGATGCTGGTCTATAAAGCTCTGAATGGTTTAGGACCAAAATACATCAGTGACCTCCTGACCCAGTATGAACCTTCCAGATCCCTCAGGTCATCTGGATCCGGTCTTTTATCAGTTCCCAGAGTCAGAACCAGACACGGAGAAGCTGCATTCAGCTTTTATGCTCCTTATATCTGGAACAAACTCCCAGAAAGCCTCAGATCAGCTGAAACACTCAGTTTATTTAAATCCAGGTTGAAGACTCACCTGTTCTCAGCTGCATTTGAATAAAGCACCAAATCCACACTTTTAAGCTTAAATTTCAAAACTTACATTTAACTACTGATTTTATCTACTGTTCCTTTTTTCCCCATTTTAAATCCTGCTTTTTATTGTTTTTGTTTTTAATGTCTCTGTAAAGCACTTTGAATCACCTTGCTGTTGAATTGTGCTATATAAATAAACTTGCCTTGCCTAATATACATATACAGAAGATCATTCAACAGCTACTGATTAAACTCAGATGAGACATGAGTCTTAGCATACATCAAACCTAATAAATCAACATACAAACCACATTATTAACATGATCAGTCACCATATTACGACTCCCACAAGGAGGTTTTTGTATTCCTGTGATTCCTGGTTGGTGGTTGGACAGCACGTCCCTGTCTTAAGAGGGCAGACCTGGCAACATATGACATTACTGGAGTTTTTCAAAAATTAGATCTCCCCTCATTGGTCTACTATCATTCAAACTTAAAGGAAGCCTTAATATTTAGGAACAGTCATCTCTTCTTATTCCAGAATTTGGTTTCCTTTCTCTTCTTACTCGCTTAAATATATTTGAATAAGATATTCTCCCCAGGACCCCTCAGAAGGGGGGCGTTCCAGTTTTTGTTTCATCTGTTGTCTTTATTGAGGTTTTCTCTTGAGTGTCAGTCATTAAGTAGTTCCTCTTGCACTCGGTGCACCGTGTTCAGGGTACATCTGTGTCCACTGTAATGTTTACCGTGGTATGAAGCGTTAGTGTTTGTATGTTTTACAGCTGGATGTTCAGCGTTTAAGGAAAGAAGAGGCCTTGATGGTTGCAGATGCTTTTCGCATCGCCTTTGAACAACAGCTGAGGAAGCGAAGTGAGGAGTTCCTGCTCGTAGCCGAGGCCAATATTAAGAAATCGAATCACTCTAAAGCTGAAGGCAAGTCTGCTGTCAACATAATGTCCTACACTAACTGGATCGTTTGCTTTTGGACTGGTTCTGGTTCTTCTATAGCACCTTTCTACTCTTCTGAGCACTTTACACAACTTGTGCATTCACCCATTCACACACTAACATTCACACACATTCATACTCCGATGGATGCATCGGAGAGCACTTTAGGGTTAGTATCTTGCCCAAGGATATTTGGCTTGCAGACTAGGGGAAGCCAGGAATCGAACCACCAACCTTCCGATCAGTAGATGCCTGAGACGCCTGAGCTACAGCCACCCCAAGGAATTCATCTCATATTTTTTAAAGATTTAATTTTGGGGGGTTTTGCCCAAAAGTGTAATTTTGGGTAGTGTAGAGTAGACAGGGAGGTGGGGCCCACACGAGGCCCTTAACTATTAAATTAATAAATTGTTAAAATGCTAATGAGGCTTGTTTCTTCAGATTTATATGATCCAGTCCATGAAACACAGGATACGCTGCTTGGTGTTGGTAAAGTAGCTGTGTCAGGGTTTTAAAAATGGTCTTTCTGTTTCAAATTACAGTAGAGTAGATGGAATCAAACTTTCTATTTCATAATAGCAGATCATTTCTGAGAACACAGGTCACCGTAGTTGTGTTTGCATATCCAGACAGTGTTGTGGGACGTATGTTGAGCATTGTTTGAATTTGCCCTTTATTAGGTGTTCACACAGCAGGTCAGAGGAACGACTCTCCCCCGACCCACACAGAATCAGCTGCAATAACTAAAGATACACATAGACTTGATTTATTATTTTAGGTGAAAAAATACAAATAGTGCACAAATACTTAACAAGGTACCAAAGAAGTACAAAGACAAACACTGAAACCCCCTAAAAAGCTCAGAACAGAAGCTGCCACTGATGCGCCTCTCGTGGCAAAGCAAAAACTAACTTGTGTATTGAAGCCATGTCGATTTTTCCGTGGAATAACTTTGGACAAATCAGACACAGTCACTGATGGAAGCAGTTTGTTTTAAGTGATAGTAATTATGCAGAGGACATTTGTCTGTTCGGACATCAAAGCTAAAGGAAGCTGGCACGGGAACGTTTGCACTGCGACAGTGAAAACGATGTAAACAAATCATGTTACAAATGCTTCTCAATCTGTTTTGTCTACAGGTGCCAACAAGAGTCCTTTAATAAGTGTAAGTAAGAGGCTGAAGGCATTGCTCCCCTCTGGTCTGGAGATGAAGATGCCTGATGAACATTTAGAGACTCTCTACAAGCTGCTGGACTTGGTTAGTATCTCGTCTAAGATCTTGTTGTCGTGAGAAAGAAAGAGATCGAGGCCCCACCGCTGCTCGGCTTCGTCTGCAAAAATATTTCTCTGTGATAGAACGGTTTCATCAAGAAATGTTAATTTATAGAAAAACCGAAAAATAAATACAAATGCTCGTCTGTAACCTGACAACAAAAGAAGTCCACTAGTGACCAACCGTCTGCAACAAAGTGATGTGCAACAAGCTCTGTGGGTGGGCCTTTGTAACAAATGTTATTTGACTTTTAATACTGTGTTTTCTGGTGTAGCTGAACGACAAGGAGGAGGCCCTGGCCCACCAGAGGAAGGTGAGCATCATGCTAGCCCACAGCGCTGAGGAGCTGCAGAGACAGTTGCATCTGGGTTCCAGTTGCCAGCTGCAGGACCCACCAGAACCCAGGATTCAACAGAAGCAACCCCAAGCTCCACTGGAGAACCAGAGCCAGTCTCAGAAAACATCTGAGACATCAGAACCTGAGGTTGAAGTGTCATCAGAGTGCAAACTCCACAGTCCACCACAGCTCTCTGAGTCCAGGACAGAATCAGAGGGTGTGTGAGGCTCATCAAAGACTAGCAGTAAGGTACTGGCTAATTACAGGAGCTGCAGCCAGTTATCGTCCTGATCTCCCCACATGAGGAAATACACTGAGGGTTCTGTCTGAGCACTCGGGCTTTACTCTGAAGTCCCAAACTGTGACAGGTTCATTTGTGACCTGTCCAGAGTATACCCCAGTCCTATCATGGCTGGAGTTGCATTATATGTTGCATTGCATGTTCATCCAATATTATAATTTTATCTTAGTCTGTAAAATCAATTGCTTACACAACACATAACACAACATCAGCTCTTTGCAAGCATTTGAAACCAAGGCTAGCGACGGCCCAGAGTGATGTTAATGTCTCCTAAGCAAAGCTCTGCCATCCCAGCCAGGCAGGCCGTCTCATTATCAACCTGCCTGTTATGCAGTCAGCCTCATAGAGCTGAGATAGACAAAAGTACTGGGCTACCGCGTTGCCTTTGAATTCAGGTGTTTAATTCCAGATCTTAGCCACGCCCTCTGCCTTTATATTTCATCCTACAGTCTTTCTCACTGAATTTGAGGGTGATACTGTAAGGTTTGATCCATGATCAAAAATTTCTTCCTCCTAAATGGTCTCAGCTGTGAGTTGTGTAATTGCAGAGTGAAAGTGGAACCACACAGTCATGAAATGACAGCATGCAGGAAGTTACAGAGCAGGTTCAGCGAGTGCTGCGATGCCCACTGTGTAAGCGTTGCTGTGTCAGTGACGCGTGAGCTCTCCTGGCATGCATATGAACAACATGCAGGAGTGTAATGCAGCTGCTATAGGTGTGACACGTAGGCTCTGGGGCCATCGTGGCTCAAGAGTTGGCAGTTTGTCTTGTAACCGGAAGGTTGCCGGTTTGAGCCCCGGCTCGGACAGTCTCGGTCGTTGTGTCCTTGGGCAAGACTCTTCACCTACCGCCTGCTGGTAGGTGAGAGTGAATGAATAGTGGAATTGTACAGCGCTTTAAGGGACCTCGAAAAGCGGCATATAAATGCAAATCATTATTATTATTATTATTATTATTATTATTATTGTACTGTTGTCCATACACGTTGCATCTGTGCAGATTCTAAAGCATGCTGTGGCTTCTCCTCTGCTCACAGACAAAGGTCAGCTGGGAAACACTGGGTCCTGCTATGATGTTATTTTGACACTCACCACCTACTTAAGCATTGTTGTACAAACCATGTATCAACAAGCTTGAGTGTTGGCTTGGCTTCCAAAGTCCCCACGTCCCGATCCAGTCGAGCTACAGATCAGGGATCGAGTCCATGCCTCGACAGGACAGGCAGCTACAGAGAGGCACCAACACAATATGAGGCAGGTGGTTCAAACCTGACCAGTGTAGGTTAAAGCACTGAGAACAAACAAGGAAAATGAACATACATGAAAACTCGATTATGATCGGCAGATGAGATCTGGACTTTGGCTGATTCCTACAATCGAAAACACGTGTTTGGGTTGCTGGATCAGCTGTTCAGGTGAAGGACAGGTTTATGTTTTTAAGCTGGAAGATGACATCTGTCGTTTAACCTGAAACTGCTGTCAAACTGCAGCTCAGGAAGTAACCAGCAGAGGGCAGTGTTTGTGTGTGCGTCTCTGTGCATTCATGGCTGTGGTACCTGCAGCTTCCAGCTTTGTGTCACTGAGCTAACACTGTGTTATTGACATTTCTGTTCATCTTTACAAAATATCAGCACTGTAACCCTGAGATATCGACATTACAGTTTAATTGAATGCAAAGAGACGATCGTTTATGGTGGATTTCAAACTAAAAACAGTCAAAATGTTTTTATTATAGTTTCCAAAAATGATAAGTGAACCATGTGATACTCAACCACAGATGTTTGTTCCTGACAGCATGAACATGTCGTTTAGTTCCTCATCATGGTGCCACATACTTTGAGGTACCCGTCACTACACCCGAATAACAGCTGACTCTGCCTGTTTCATTGGTTTTTACATTTATATTTACACCAAAGGAAAGACGAGTTACAGCCCTGCATTTCTCATCGTTTCTCAAACTGCTTCACTGATTCCTCAGTTTTGCTGATATCGACTTGCACATAGTTCAGTATACACCAGTACAAACTGACTTTGTGGATTTTAACCATTGAAACATGTGAAGTTGACTGTTTTTACATTTGTATGAAGTATACATGTCTTCACAAAGAGCGCGGTGGAGTGATTTTCAGAGAAAATGTCTCAGCTTTGAAATTAATTACTGTTAAAGTAAAACTTTGAAGGATTGGAGAGCGAGCAGTGAAACCTGTAATCTCCAAATCTGTATTAAAATGATTTGAACAGAGAAAGAATCAGAAGTACAAAAAAAGAGCTTTCAGGGGTTAAAGCTCTGATACGAACCTCGTGCAAAAGATGTTGTGTGTGGGTGTGTGTGTGTGTGTGTGTGTGTGTGTGTATGCATGTGTGTGTGTGTGTGTCTCTCTGAGACGTTCACAGCACATCTTGTTTGTGTACAAAGTAAATCAATAAAATAAATGTTTTTCTTGACTCTTTGCTCGAAGTTCCAGCTGCTGCTTCAGCAAATGAAGCCAATAAGACGAATGTCAGTCATCACAGTTCACCAGTGACACCAGTGACTGGATTCTTTAATCAGCCTGTGACTACTTCCTGAAGTGATAGCTAGCATCTGAACTCTGTACTGTGTCATTTCCACCTCCTGTGTCTGCCCCATTAGCTTCAGATAATGGCCAAGCTTTCCACACAGGCTGGCCCACAGCCTTGGAGCGCTCAGCATCACTGATTGCAGGCATTCTGGGAATTGGACTGACAGCAACCAAATAAATGGAATGAGAACTGAATTGCAGTAGGAGGTAATGCTATGGAACAAACACGCTGTAAAACGACAACTTCTAAGTGAAAGGAAATCAGCATGTTGCAACATTTAGTCATTATTGTTTCTATTTATTCATTTATTTGTAACTGGAAACATCCAGGACAAAACAAAAACACCCTGTTTAAAAAACAACTGTGAAAATGATCATGTCACTTCATTTTATCCTCCACTGAACCATCTGCTGCACACTGACAACAACATGTTTCCCTTTGAAATGAACCACGTTCATTTTTTAAAATTCTTTCATTGGTCCTTCAGGTAAGAATCTCATTTCTAACCGAGACCTGAGATCATGGCAGCAAAGCTCAAACACACTTGCACCACATAACTACTCTGCACAAACATGTGACACAATAACAGATCAGAAACATCCACGCTGACTAACAGAGTTCTTCCTCGTTCCTTTACGGTGGACTTAAACTCCCCCACAGTAACACTGTCCAGGAAACAGCGCATCTAAAAGCCTTTTTCCTCGTTCTGTTCAGATTTTTGGGACAGTCAGTTGTATGAGATGATTTTACACATATAAACACGCGAACACGTTACTTTTACATTTTAAAGTAAGTATTAGTTCATCATATTATCAAGTATACAGAATTATTGCAGTAACACTTACTGACGTGGGTCCTGTTGCACTGGGCCCATATTTGTGATGTGACTGAAACTGAGTGTTTTCTCCACACGTCCACATTTTTAATAGACTCATGGATCGAAGGTCGTGGCTGCATTTAAACATGTTGCTAATGCTTCTGAATCTAACATCCCAGATGCCCCATTCTGGAGGTGGATTCCTGCATTAAAATGACTTTTGTCGTGTATTTGTGAGAAATGAACTTTCCCGTACTGACAGGCCGTGGCTGTGGTCGCAGAGCCAGCCTCCTGCCCTCCTCTGCACGGGAACAAAAGCAGAGATGCAGTCAGGAGCTTTATGGGCCGCCTGCATCCCCAGGGCACTGTATGTGGGGCACCCCGAGCCTCCAGGACTTTCATGTTTTGCACTTTGTAAAATATTGACACTCCCTGGGCTTTCAAAACTGCACCATTGATTGGCGCTTAAGCCTCGCAGCTGGACTCTGACCAAAGCTGCTTCGTATTATTGGCGTGATTAATTAAAAAGAAAATGGTTTTAGCATGGCTGGATACACAGACGGGCTGCAGCCGCGACATGGTGGGACATGGCATTACATACAGACGCGTTTGCTCGCATGCACACGCATGAGCGGCGTACTGCGATGGCTGAAGGGTGAGGGGAGGTGTATGAAACACATTAACCCACAATGCACTGCTGAGTTTTGACAGATCCCTGCTTCAGGGCTGCTGAATTCATGAGCCATTACTCCTTCTCCTAGTTGGTGCATTATGTTCCATGTCATCTGCTATTAGTGGTGCAGTGACTGACATCCATTGAGAAAGCCGGTGCTTTCTGACACTGGCCAGCTGATGGGGCCAGCGTGGTGTTCTTGGGCTACGATGAAGCCACATTGTTGTTTTGTTTCCAGGCCTCCCTCTTTTTCTTGCTCATCCAGTTGCATTCATGCCTGCAGTAATCAGGACAATATTGCATCCTCCACAACGTCAAAGCAGCTATTGTGGTGCACAGTGAGCTCCAGCTGGCCTGCTTTACTCTTTTAGGGTACAGTGAGCTGGGGTTACCACCTTACGTTAGACTGTTCATGTCACGCAAGCTGTGATGTGGAGTTGATGTTTTTAAGGACAAAAATCCTGAAGCCTTTTAATTATTAGAAATTCAGCAAATATAAGAAATAAGTCTGTATTTACCATCTGTTTGCTCCTTTTCTGTGTATATAAGCAAACTGCATATGCTGTAGTATCTAATATCTCTGTCTTAACAACTGAGATGTGTATGAAACTGGGCCATGATCTCAGGAAGTATGCTGACTTCCTGTTTCAAACGCAATCTGACTGTATTGTAATTGTGACCATCACAGATACAGGAGCATATTTGAGTAACCCCCCCACCCCCACCACCCATTAGCCCACAGTCTAAATAGGCCTAAAAGGTTATGATGGAATTCGTCCCTGCCTGTTGTTGTTTACGCACTTCTTAGCGAAGGTCATTGTATTGACCAATCTGGATATGGGGCAAGCATGACAAAACGCTGACATATAATCTGTGTGGCCTTGATGTTCCATTAAATGATCGATTCAGCTGGTTTGGGCTGGGGGGGGGGTAACCAGGGACTATGAAAGGTCAGTAACTGTTAGTTCATTGCTGGAGTGATTAATAAATCAATAGGAACAGCAGAGAGGTCCAGTAAATAAAACAGTTCCACCGAGTCCTGACCTCTCTGCAAACGGATGAATGAGGTGAGGGTGTGTCTACCAAAAGACCCCCCCTCTCTGAACCCCCATACTGACTGCTGCTGCTGCTATAGAAACAGATGAATATTATACTAATATTCATTATTTTAATATTATAGTCATATTCACATTATACTAATCTTTAGTATACTAACGATCTGTTACATTACACAGTCATCTGTGCATGTTCTGGTTACATTAGTTGTATTTGTTTCTCTTTTTTTGTGAAATAATCTCTACTTTTACAGGATTTGTTTCTGGTGTATTTTGTTGATGATGTTATCCTTAGAAAAGTACATAAACTTCCCTCCTGACAGACAAATAAGCTAACCCCGAGGTTATTTATTATTTATTATTATCCAGACTTTGTCTGAATTAAGCAACACAGACTACAGCAGGGGGAGCCAGGACAAAAGGTCAGGGGGGAGATGTCGTAACCCCCACACAAGATTGGTACCACACTGGGTACCCACTTAATGTCTGCTGGGAGATGTGAACGCAGTATTATGGACAATATCTACTGCGACCATCACTGAACCAACCAGCTGATCTACAGCACGGCAGCAGTGACCAGGGAGATGCTACAAGATGAGCAGTAGCCTCCATGGAGAAGGAGGCTAGAGGCCAAGATGAGGGCAGCTGTAAGCTGTCCACACCTGAGGCCAAAGAGCCACAGCCTCGGTCAGCTGCTGGAGGAGGCAGAGAGAGAATAAACCAGCTGTTCTCCACAGAACCAGCCAAGGTGTAACCTCAGTGACGGGGGAACAACACGAGAACATGACCTGTAGTGTATGTGCTGATGGTGTGTGTGTGCATACACTCTGTACATACAGCAGAGATGTTTGTGCTTCTCTGTCACGGATTCACCTAACTTAGTGTTGTCAAACTGTTGTTATGAACAACATCGATAAAACAAACAACATCAGTAAAAGCTGACATGTATGCAGTCATGATGTGTTGTTATGAACGTCTTGATGAGATTATTTAATTGAGCTAAGGTCGATAATCTCTCCCACACGCACACACATGCACGCACGCACGCGCACACACACACGCACGCATGCACACACACACGCTCTGTTGGTTATTCTTTTAATGGACTTCCAGGTTGTTTGTGATTGGTCAGTACCATCCTTGGCATATCCTGCTGTTGATGTTTTCAAAGAAAACTAATAAACAGTAATTAGAGAAAGCGAGTGCACGCGTACACAGGGAGGCTGCAGTTTATGTTCATGCTGTTTGTTCATCAGCAAATTGCTCACCTTTGCAGGCAATGCTGCACTAACACATTTAAGCGACAGGGGGCAGTAGCGCCCCATGCCTGGGGTGTGCTGTAGCCCTGCGTGTGAGAGAAAAGAAATGGTTGCCACATGTTTCTCGTCTAATGCACTGGAGGATGTTTGAGTGGATTTCAAACATTTCCCTCGGAGGCATCTCTCTTGAATTTTCTCCATGTAGGAAGAAGATGAAATGCAGCAGCTTCTGTGGTAATGACTGGAACACACACACACACACACACACACACACACACACACACACACACACACACACACACACACACACACACACACACACACACACACACAGCTATACATAACAATTAGTTTCTCTAATATTTTTAAATTCTGGGTTTTTTGTTTTGTACTTGTTTCCTTTTTATTTTCTCAGCAACGCTGTTTTTCATACAGCAGTGTCACAAAGAATAACAGCTTCATATTTACAGAGTGTAATTAAATCTGCATTTGTGACACACGACAAACAAGCTGCAGACAATATTATTTAAATGTCCTTTGACTCTAAAGCACAGGCTGATCTATTGTTCACAGCTCAAACGAACTGTGTCTGCTTTAAAGACTTGAAACTGGGACGAACACGTACGAGTCTTTAAATGAAGCTGAAGACTAATTAGGTTGTTGTTTTTTAAACATTAAGAAGCTGGTTGGTTGGACAGCTTCCAGAAAGCTTCAGTCCTGAGCAGCAGAGTCGCAGTGCTTCTTCTACTATAGCACTTTACTAAAAGCAGCTAAAACACAGGTAAACATAAAGGTCAGCTGTGATTTACTGGATCTGACTCTGAAAGCACACATCAAGGTTTCACTATTATCACTTGTAAACATGACTAGCAAACAGTGCTGTAGGCTGAAAGAAACCTCTGTCACTGATTCAATGGTGATAATTGACGCGTAGCACCATTTGGGTCCTTGAAGAATAATTTTGATAATAAATAATACGTGAAATATGCACACAGAGCATGTGTGTATAGTTTAATGTTGGAATAAATACCAGAAGCAACATGCAAAAAGCAAAGTACATAATGTCAGTTGGTTTCTAA